ACCTCCTACAGTTACAAAGTAAATTTGTGTGTTAAAGTTACCTACTTGCAATATTTGTGTTTGGTCAAAACTAGATTAGTAAAACTACAGTCATATTGGATAAGATGTAGTGCGTTTCTAACAAATAATCGTGGAAACCAGAGTAGCGTAACCTGGGGAGACAAGAATTAGGAATTGCCCTGAAAGTGCATTTTGGATTGTAGCATTTCATTCCATTTAATGTTATGAGACAAGGAAAAGAGGTTATACGTATTGCTAATTTTCTAGTATATTTATGCTTATCTACTTTGCTTAATTGGATAATATTAGAATATTTTTAAAGTATAACAAATTATTAAAGGTTATATAATATGCTTTAAGAATGTCAATGACAAGGACACAAGTACACGTACACACATACATACACATGAATCATATATATTATGTATCCATGAGTAGATATAGATGCAGGCAGAGACCTAGATGAGATTTATTTGTATGCACAAATTATAAATATCAAATGGATGAACATGAGTGTTTTTAAAATTTTTCCATCAAGGAGAGAAAATGCTTGACTTGGCATGGAAGGAAAAGGTGAATTGTGATGTATATTGTTTTCTAAATTTCTTAACTTAATTCATGTATGTGTTGCTTTTGCAAATATTGATAATAAACTAAGCTAAATATAGTGATCAGTATTCAAACACACGTACACAATAAAATATAAAAAGCATATATATGCATAAAAAACACAAGTGAAAACCCATAAAAAAAAAAACTATCATTGTAGTTTTTGGATTATCAACTTGAATTCCCTCTTATTTTACCTGTAGTAAATGTATGAACATGTTAACTATACTACATATTAACATTAAATGGAATGAAATGCAAATGTATTTAAATATTTGGCAAATTCTCACTAATTTTGATATGTTTTCTTACTAGATGTATTTGTTATTAAAAGAGACTACAGTACACATCAGAACTGGTTTATTCTGAGTTTCTACATTTTTTTACCCTTTATAATAATCTTCATCGTTATGGTCACGAAGCGAAATGAAATGAGAAAATCAAGGAACAGAAAGGAAGCAGAACATAAGGGGTAAGTGTAATGTTTATTAGATGCTGTTGTTAGATTGCCGTTGAGTCAATTCTGGCTCAGAGAGCCCCTGTGTGCAACAAAAACACGTGCTTCCACGTCCTGAAATATCCCCACGATGGCTGTCATGTTTGAACCCATTATGCAGCTACCGTTTCCAACCATCTACTGGAAAGTCTACCTTTTACATACTTTGGACGTGTTATCCGGAAATGTCAGTCCCTGGAGGAGGACATCACATTTCCTAGAGGGGCAACAAAAAAGAGGAAGGCCCTCCAGGAGATGGATTGACACCCTGGCGACAACACTGGGCTCCAGCACAGGGGCAATGGGGAGGATGGCACAGGAATGGGAAGTGATTCAGTCTACTGTGCGTAACGTTGCTACTGGTCCAAACCAACTCGACGGCAGCGAACAACAACAACTACACAACATGGCTTAGATCAGGCAAACCTGTTCTCAGAGTGACACTCTTGCTCTACAACACTTTAAAGAGGTCTCTGGCAGCAGATTTCCCCAGTGCAATACGCTATTTGATTTTTCTGAACATTGATTGTGTATCCAAGCAAGAGGAAACCTTGGTATCTTCAATCTTTTCTCTGTTTAATATGATGTCATCTTCTGGTATGATTATGAGGATTTGGGCTTCAAAAATGTTTTTTTAGATTGAGTTGCAGTCCATACTGAAGGCTGTAGTCTTTGATTTTCATGAGCAAGTGTTTCAAATCGCCTTGCTTTTAGCAAGCAAGTTGTGTCACATGCTTTTCTCCAACCTCGACGCTGTGTTCTTCTTTATATAGTCCAGTTGTTTGGAATATTTTTTCCAGCTCTCACATACACATGAAATGATTGTCAAAAACTATGGTGTGGGTAAGGTAATCAAAAGGATATCTTTGTCTTTTAAAACATTAAGGGTTTATTTTCCTCAAGAAGATAGTATGGTGAAATTATTTCTGAAGAAATAGTCAATATTATTCCAATTTTATTCCTGTGAATCTTATTTGCTTACTCCCCAGTTAACATCTCCCTGAGGCGACAAAGAATGTGGAATATTTATTTCATCTTGTATAAATTATTCATTTAAAGCATGCAATATATTCCCAATTCATTTTATAAAGGGCTTTAAAGTTTATTAGAGTAGGCACTATTGTACCTAGTATAAGACCATCTGATTTATGCTGCCTGGTTACTAGTAATTTCTTGGGTGTGGCTTAATACTTACCAATGTTCTGTTTCTAGTCATGAATTAAGCAACACTAGTTTGCTTCTGGGACACGATGACCTCTGCTTCGAATGACTTTTTAGTGTAAGATAGAGTTGGATTATGAGTTTCTTTTCTTCATTAAATGGTTTTATTCTTTTGGTCGTTTTTTTTTCTTTTAAGGTGGCCTCTGCAGATAAATGTCCTCCGACCCTTTTCTCTTCATGACACACAGTCTTTTTCATTCAACGGAAGTTTTGCCAAATGAATACCATCAACTATTAGGCCTTCTTATACAATATGATAGTGTGCTGTTGTGTTAGTCTGGGTTGACCAGAGAAACAAATCCAGAGAGACACATATGTGTATACGAGAGAGTTCTATAAGAGAGAACAATTGAATATTGAGAAAACATCCCAGCCCAGTCCAGATGACGTCCTTAAGTCCGATATTGCCCCATATGTTGATATTAGTCCATAAATTCCTCTTTAGACTCACGCAGCCATGCAATGATACGGAGTGCAGCAAGAGCTCAGCCCAGTGGAAAGTGTTGTGGATCCAGTGGTGGTAGAGGCATCTCAGCAGCGCTGGTGTGGGTTTCCACATGGCACCTCCAGCTCTGAGGTTCTGGCTGCCATCAGCCTGTCTCCATGTGGCTTGTCAACAAGAATGTCTCGCAGGGAGTCAGCATGTGTCCCACCTCCAGGGAGCTATTTATCTCCTTAGCGCTTCCAAATGAGGTCATCAAGCTGCGACGGGATCGACAGGCTAGACTCCACCCCTCCAGTCTTAAGTATCAAATTGACAACAGATTATGTAACTACCGCAGCAGGATTCATTTTAAGTCTGCCCTTTCCCTGAATTGTGTTGTTCTTTGCCATCTAGTCGGTTCTGATGCATAGTGTCCTCATGGACAACCGAACCGAACATCACCAGCTATCCTCACAACTGTTCTTCTGCAGGAGTCCACTGCAAGCCCCGCGTCAATGCACTCCAGCGAGGGCCTTCCTGTATTTCACTGGCCGAACATGACTTTACTGAATATAATGTCCCTCCCGAGGGACTGTCTCTCCTGACAATATGTCCCAAGTACATGAGATGAAGTCTTGCCCTCCTTACCTCCAAGGAACATTCTGGCTATACTTCATCTGAGACATACTCGTTTGTTCCTCAGGCAATCCAGGGTTCTTTCCAAGTTCTCCGCCAGCACCTTATTCAAATGCATTGAGTCTTCTTCTTTCTTATTCAATGCACAACGTTCACATGCATATAAGGCCATTGAAAATATCATGGCTTAGGTGAGGGGAAACTTAGTCCTCAAATTCCTTGCTTTTCAACAGAGGTCCTGTGCAGCCGACTAAGAACAAACTATGTAGAAGATAAAATCCATTATCCAAGTCTTCAACTATTATTACTAAGTCAAGTATTTTTCCTTTAATTTTGTCAGCTTTGTTTTATAAGTTTTGTAACTTATTGGTTGTCACTTTTCTTGTATCACTTTCATTTTAAAGTATTTTTAAAGTTTATCATTTTTACTATGTTCTTATGTTGTAAAATTTTGATACTTAAATTACAAATCTATACTACAAATAAATAAATGCATATACATAGATATATTTTCTTCTTAACTTTTATCTGAACTCTTTATTTTACTGATAAGCAAGCTTATCTACAATAAAAAGAACTAATTTTGATGTTTGAATTTGTGAGTGTCTGTGTGTTTGATCTAAAGTTTAAATTAAAGTAGTATAAATGGTAAAGTAGTATAAATGGTAAAGATAAATATAGATCTGTTATTAAAAATGTGAAATTTTATTTTTCTGTTTTCTTTCTCTATAGTGATTCAGCTATTGTACCAGAAAACTATGATATGGAAAAGTAGTATTGCCAAAAATCCACCATTCACTGGTCTATTTCAAGAGGAGACATTGTGTTTTACAATCCATTACACTACAAATGACTTTAAAAATTAAAAAAAATAAAGCCCAGATGTTAAAATGTGCAGGCTCTGGAGTGCCTTATGTGCAGCACAGGGTATGGGTGGGCTTTTTCAGAAATACAAACTCTTTCTCACCCAACCTAACAATTACACTTTCCAACTATATCCTCCTTTTGCATCCATGCAACCTCTTCAGTCATGGTGGACAGCCCAGGCCTTGCAGCCTCAAACTGTAGCTGTTCTGTTGCCAACAATCCCATGTCCCTAAGGTGAAGAAAGACTCTTCTATTTTTCTCACAGATTTGGTTCAACAGACGTCCAGCACCTGTAGTCCATAAAGAATACTGCTCCATAGAATAAACCTTTTGCAGTGTTTCTGGGCTTGGTGGGCATCTCCCTTCTTGCTCCAGAAGTTCAAGCCAGGCTGGGAAGATCAGAGATTTCCCTTGGAAGGCCAAGGAGGAGCGCCTCCGTGCTTGCCTGCCCTATGCCAGTACTCAGGACACACGAGGGTTCTGGTGGGCCCATGCCTTTAAGCAAGACTAGGCAGCTCTCTGGCACTTAGCTGACCTTACACAAAAAGGGAAGCATAGCCGAGGGAGGTGGGGCAAGGAGAAAGCCAGAGAACAACTTTCAACCATTAGCCCAGATAAAGCTGGCGTCAAGAAGCCTCAACACATAATTGGTCTACTTCAGAGGAGCCTTTTCTTGACATCGTACTAAGTATTTAGGGGTGTGTGTGCATGTGTATGAACAGGTAAAGCAATGTTAAATGAGATGATATGACAATGAAAAATTGCTAGTACATAGCTATAGACTTGGAGATGTCCATACTGTACATGTTTTGCTCATTGCAGGGTCAAAAGCAATACTCTGTAAATCATAGTACCGCAAAAGCAAGTAAATGTTTAGAACACACATTAAGGAATGCGTTCCTTAATTTATGAAACTTTCCATTCTTAACTATATATCTAAAATTATTTCTTCCGTATCCATTGGAAAATAATGTTTGTGTTCTTGTTTGCTTTCTTAAAGTGTCATTGTGTCTGAATAAGAGCAGGTGTCTCGATGGAGACAAAGAAGATATATTACCCATTTCACACATATAATTTATACACATATTACACATAAAAGCCCAAACACTAGTTGACACAAGCAGGATCTGTATTCACAATGGATGTAAATGCTTCAAACGACAATGCATGGCAGAGAGATGTTTTATAAGATGACCCGTCTATAGACTGCCTACAAAAGACATATTTTAAATCCAAAGACACAATGGATTGATAAGATGAAAACAATACTCAATGAAAGTAATACTTTTGAGAGGCTATTGGTCTTAATTTCAAACAAAATACACAAATATGGATATTATAAAATGATAAATGAGTCAATTCATGAAGGAGAGGTAAGAATTATAAATATATGTGCATAAAAGAGGAGTATCTGTATGTAAAGCAAATTGCAAAATTGAAAAAGGAGAAATACAATTCCAATAATAGTGGGGAACTTCAAGACTCAATAATGCATTTTTAAATCTCCATAAAAGTTTAGTAAGGAAACAGAAAACCTGAATGAAATAATGAATGAACAGGATCTAATGTATGTATATGTGTGTATTTGTATGTGTATATGTATATGAAATCATATCAAGTATTTCCTCAAATCATATGTAATTACAAATTAATGACAGAACAGAAACTTGAAAAAATTCATAATGACACATACAATACTAACAATAAAGAAAGGGTATGGAAGTACAATTTACAAAAAAGCCTAGGTCACAGAGGAAAGTTCATAGCTGTAAATGCTTCCATGAAAAACAAAAATAAAAGCAGACGATTATTAATCAAACCCCTAATAGAAAAACTTCAAGAATTAAAAAAAACACAAATCAAAACTCAAATAAACAAACTGGAATTAGCAAATTGGGAGATGAATAGCAATACCTTCATCCCAGATAATTATGAAATTTCCAAATTCTTTGGACTTTTTTTTTTTGGCATTTCATGTGCATGGAAACATCCAACACAGTGCATTTTGTGACCACCGTTATGTGCTTAAAGTAACTTGGGGTCCATCAAAGCTAAGGCTGTGCCCCTAATACAGCAGCACTGCACTAGCAGCAGTATCTTGGGGTTGCCACATATGCAGAGGCAGAAAATCTGACAGAAACGCACAGTGCCGCCAGTAGGGGAGGAGGACGTGACAAATCCTGGGAAGAGAAGGTAAGAGTCTAGGGTGATGTCCTTCTGCAGCAATGAAGGGGAGACCTCTTTATTAAAGAACATTTCAGGACAACAGCTTAGGGTCCTTAAAACTGCAAGGCTTTATCTATTGCTAGTTGATGTTGGGGCAAATTCACAGTATCTGCAACACAGTTAAAATCTAATTAGGTAAAATTTGATTATTTGGACTATTTTTGAAACAATGGGATATGCATAAAAGCTTTGTGGCAGTAAGTTTTGGGGAGCCAAAGGGCTTCTGTTTCTATATAGAAATAGCCAATACTTTTAGCCAATACTTAGAGGCCAGTTTTTACTCATTTATAAACCCAAACCAGTTAAGAATGGGAAAATATTTTAATGGACAATTTTCCATAAGATATGCACAGATGGACAACAAACAAAACATTCAACATTATTATGAAGAAAATACCAATCAAAACTACTATGTGATGTTATGTCCTCCTACCCACTACAGTAGATATAATAACTTTTGTTTTTAAGATAAGACAATAACAAGTGCTGGAGTGAATATGGAGAAGCTGAAAGCCCCATCCAATGGTACTGTAAAATAGTACAACTATTTTGGCAAATAGTTTGTCTGGCATATTCTCAAAATGTTAAACATAGAGTTTCCATAAGGCCCAGCTATTGCACTTTTAGAAAATACTCAAGAGAATTGAAAACATATGGACACCCAAAAACTTGTACATAAAAGTTCATAGATACATTGTTCATAACAGCCTAAAGTGAATACAAGTCAAATGACCATCAACTATTTGATATACAAAAAGGAAGGTGTATTCAAACAATGATATATTTTTATCATTACCTACCTTCAAGTGGGCCCCTAATTTATAACCTTCATGCACATCTGATCAAAATTCTACCCATGCATTGTGAATTGCAGCAGCAGCTATTGTGATCCATTCAAGTTTGCTTGGCTGATTTTCAGAAGTAAATTGTCAATCCTTTCTTGATAGTTTATCTTACTTTGGAATCTACTGAATCATATTCAGCATCAGAGTAGCATGCACGCCTTCACTGGTTACAAATGAGCTGTATTAATTAGCTCTTCTTCACTGAAGAGGAGAATTCTATTAC